TGGACAGTTTCATCCCTTCGCTTAATTGTGCTGTTGTCTTTTTTTTTTTTTTTTTTTTGTTCCTAGCAAGAACGCCAGCGAGACCCCATGGTATCGGCCCGACGACACCGAGGAGAGGAACAGCAAGGCCAGGAAAGCCTACGAGAGCTTGATGACCGTCACTCTCAGAATGCCCACCAGCACCGAGTACCGGCAGTTCTCGAACGAGGTCAAGGCCAGGGCCCTGGAGATGTTCCCGAACTTCACCTACGGAGAGGACGAGGTAAGGTCTATCCGCCTGCGTGGTTCTGGGGAGGTAAGGTCTGTCCGCCTGCATGGTTCGGACGAGATAAGGTCTGTCCGCCTGCGTGGTTCTGACGAGGGTAGGGCCATCCGGCCTCCGGGGTTCTGACGGGGTAGGGTCTGTCCGCCTGCGTGGNCTGTCCGCCTGCGTGGTTCTGACGAGGTAAGGTCTGTCCGCCTGCGTGGTTCTGACGAGGTAAGGTCTGTCCGCCTGCGTGGTTCTGACGAGGTAAGGTCTGTCCGCCTGCGTGGTTCTGACGAGGTAAGGTCTGTCCGCCTGCGTGGTTCTGACGAGGTAAGGTCTGTCCGCCTGCGTGGTTCTGACGAGGTTACGAAGAATTTTTTTTTAATGGTTTGGCCGAGTCAGGTGCTGAATGGATGAAAGGGTGCGTCATAAAACGTCTGTTTTTTTTGGTAAAGCACATGAATAAACCTTGATTTTGCTAGACTCTGGGAAGTTCCAAACTACACCACTGGGTGTATTCATCCAGGTAGCGATGTTTGTGGTAAGCTTTTTTTTTCTGGCGCACAGATATGTAGGAGTTTTGCAAAAGACGCTCATCAAACATAGATCTAGTTCAATGTATTTGAGATTGTATTTTTGTTTGTGTTTCTTTAACGCATGTCCGTTTTATGAGGATTTCCATGATTTTATAAAAAAAAAATCACGTCACTTTGCTCCATTTAATATTATTTATCTACCCTTTTCTCTTAACGTCTTATTATCTATCGCTCTCTCTCTCTCTCTCTCTCTCTCTCTCTCTCTCTCTCTCTCTCTAACTCTCTCACTCTCTCTCTCTCTCTCTCTCTCTCTCTCTCTCTCTCTCTATCCCTCACACACTCTCTCTCTTTTTTATAAAAAAAAAATCACGTCACTTTGCTCCATTTATTATTATTTATCTACCCTTTTCTCTTATCGTCTTATTATCTATCGCTCTCTCTCTCTCTCTCTCTCTCTCTCTCTCTCTCTCTCTCTCTGAAGCTGACTCACTTTCTCTCTCTCTCTCTCTCTAACTCATTCTTTCTCTATCTAACTCACACACTCTCTATCACTATTTAACTTACTAACTTTCTATCTCACCCCTCTAACTTATGCTGTCTCACTCCCTACCTCATTTTCTCTCTCTCTCTCTAACTCACTCTCTCTCTCTCTCTCTCTTAATCTCCCCCACCCCGCGTTTTCTGTATTCTATTCTAATTTTTTGTTCACACTTTATTGTAAACATTTTTTGCTATTTATTGCTTTCTATTTTCTCCTTGCCTTGTATTTTTATGTTCTCGCCCATTCTCTCTATTTTAATGGATTCTCATAAATCACCGCAACATGGCCGTGAGCACCTCACGTGTGTAGAGCCCATGTAATGTCTAGAGATCATGTGGTGTACTTAACCCATGTTGTGTCCAGATTCCGTGTCATGGGCAGAGCCCATGTCGTGTCCACATCTCGCGTCGAGTCCAAAGATCATTTTCTGTCCAGAGTCATCACGTGGCCAGAAATGTCGTGTCCAGAGCCCATGTGGTAACCAAAGCCCATGTTGTATGCAGAGCCCATGGCATGCCTAGGGCCAATGTCGTAAGACAGAGTCCATTTCGTACCCCAGAGTACATGTCATACCCCAGGGTCCATGTCGTGCCACAGAGTCCATGTCGTGCCACAGAGTCCATGTCGTGCCACAGAGTCCATGTCGTGCCACAGAGTCCATGTCGTGCCAAAGAGTCCATGTCGTACCACAGAGTCCATGTCGTGCCCCAGGGTCCATGTCGTGCCCCAGGGTCCATGTCGTGCCAAAAAGTCCATGTCGTGCCACAGAGTCCATGTCGTGCCCCAGAGTCCATGTCGTGCCACAGAGTCCATGTCGTGCCACAGAGTCCATGTCGTGCCACAGAGTCCATGTCGT